ATGTTGTTTTCGCTGTTTAAAGCATGGCCATAATTCGAAATCATGCCGTGTAAAGTTAAGCTGTAGTTGGTGTTCAGGCCGACACACACTTCTTTTGTGCGAACTGGTAAATAAACACGAGAAAAGTGCATATGTTTCAGATGGAGAAAGCGATACCAATACTCGTCGACCACAAAAAACCGCGAAGGAGAATAATTTGACAACACTTTCGGGATGCCCAGAAGTTTGTTTACCAACTGCAAGAGTTGTTTTGTACTCCGACACCAGAGAACAAGTAATACGTGTACTTTTCGACGCCGGTTCTCAACGCTCGTATGTACTTTCGTCTGTAGCTGAAGAATTAGGCTACGAATCCCACGGCAAACAAGAAGTCATTCATTCCCTTTTCGGTGGTCAACGGTCGAAGGTAGGAAGCCACGATCTGTTTTTAATTAGGTTGCGTGATTTAAATAACCGTTTTGCTTGCAAATTTATTGCATTAGGTCAAGATATAATTTGTGAATCAATTCCGCAATTAAAGTGTAAACCCCTGTTAAAGGAATTAGATAATAAGGGCATACATCTCAGCGATATTGACGGTGATTCAACTCCCATTGAAGTTCTTATTGGGGCGGATGTAATAGGGAAATTGTTCACAGGGAAGATACGCGAATTAAGCAATGGGTTAACTTCTTTTAAAACTAAGCTTGGGTGGACCGTAACGGGAAAATTACCGTCAACATCGCAACTTTCAGATTCGGCGATACTTTTAAATGCAATGTTTATTGAAACTGCTACGCCAACTGACTTATGGCAATTAGATCTACTTGGTATTACAGATCCGATTGAAACAGTAGAAAGGTCAGAAATAGACATGAAGGCACGTAAGTATGTTTTAGAAACAGCTAATTTTAATTCGGATGGTCGATACGAGGTTAGATTACCTTGAGTGGATAATCACCAACCATTACCTACGAATTTCGAAATTGCGTGCAAGCGGCTATTATCTAACGTTAAAAAACTGAAAGGCCAAAATATTTTTCTTGAATATGATGAAATTTTGGACAATTGGTTAAGCGAAAATATTATTGAAAAGGTTCCCTTTTCCAAAGGTGATTTGCATTGTCATTATCTACCGCATCGCGCAGTACTGAAACCAGGTAGTACGACTCCGATTAGACCGGTATTTGACGCGTCGGCAAGCACTCCAGGAAAACCGTCGTTAAATAATTGTTTAGAAAAGGGACCCAATATGATAGCGCTCATTCCGAATATTATTAATAGATTTCGGGAAGGGAAAATCGGGATTATAGCGGACATCAAACGAGCATTTTTGCAGATAGATGTTGCTAACGAAGATCGAGATTTTTTGCGATTTTTGTGGTTTAAAAACGAGGAGCTTGTCACTTATAGGCATAGACGTGTAGTATTTGGTTTGTCGTGCAGTCCTTTTTTGTTGGCGGCAATTATCGAACTACATTTAAATAATTGTTCAAATGATCAAAATATGACACGTAATCACAACTTTCAAAAAATATGGTCTGCCGACATAAGTAAAAAACTTAAAGAATCATTTTACGTTGATAACTGTATTACAAGCGTTAACACAGTTGATGAATTACATGAGTTCATCAAAACTGCAAGTGAAATATTTGCCATGGGAGGTTTCAATCTTAGAGGTTGGGAGTACACGCTCGATACGACTAGTGATAACGTTACCAATATTTTAGGGTGGGATAAACGGAAAGATGTTATTATGATTAATCCTGATGCTCTTGGACCGGGTTGTACTGATAATATAACAAAACGAACAACTCTAAAAATTTTTGATCCCATAGGTGTAACATGTCCCGTGTCTTTACAGCCAAAACTTTTATTAAAAAGGTTATGGAAAGAAAAAACTGATTGGGACGTAGAAGTAATGGGGACCGAGAGAGACGTGTTTTGTCAGTGGGTACGAGAACTGCCACTGATGAAACAAATAGAAATACCTCGTGAAATAGGGCCAGGAACGTTAAGTTTACACGTTTTCGGAGACGCTAGTGGGCAAGCATATGCTGCCGTAATTTTTGCCCGAACCGAGCATAATGGGAATGTCAAAGTCACTTTATTAAGTGCAAAGTCACTCCGGAAAAATCAACGATTCCTCGTCTTGAATTAATGGCTGCTACTATTGCCACACGACTCACGTCATTGGTAATTAACTCTTTAAATCGAAAAATAGAAACCGTATACTATTGGACGGATTCCACAACGGTGCTGGCATGGATTAAGAGCGATATTCAATGTGGTACGTTTGTTCACAACCGAGTTTCCGAGATACGTACACATAGCGACAAAGAAGCTTGGCGGCACATTTCGGGTGACCAAAATCCTGCAGATCTTCCCTCGAGGGGGTGCAGCCCGTCTCGTTTGGTAAAATCCATGTGGTGGCACGGTCCAAGCTGGCTGTATGAGAGAGAAGAAGATTGGCCCACATCCGAAGCAATAGTAAATGATGAAGAAGTACAAAGCGAAAGGAAAAAATCAGCGATTGTAAATTTGAGTAGTGCTGAACGTACAAATGATTTTAATTTTTGTACTCATTTTTCGTCTTACTCAAAAATTATTCGATTCGCTGCATGGGCCAGAAGATTTAGAGAGAATTGTAAGTATAAAAAGGAAAATCAAGAGAATTTTCGTGGAAATAACATTGATGTAAGAAACTTACGACTAATGGTTAGAGAATTAGAAGAGGCAGAAATACGTTTATTAAAACGTTTACAATTCGACATGTTTTCTAAAGCCAATAATCAAAAGTGGTCTTCGTTTAAAATAATGGAAAACAAAGACCGATTACACGTGTTAAAAACGAAAATTTTATATCGTGAAGATGATCCATTATTTTTATATCCAATTTTATTAGATTCAGATCACGATGTAGTAAGGTTATTAGTTAAAGAGACCCACGAAATATTGGGGCATGTCGGCGTTACGCTCATTATGAGCCGATTAAGGGAAAAATTTTGGATCACATCGTTAAGAAGAACGATAAAAACTATCGTAAACAAATGCATCGTGTGTAAACGACAAACCGCAAAACCTGCAAGCTGCGAAGAACCGGCTCTGCCACCGAACCGCGTCCGTGATGCTGGAGTTTTCGAAATCATAGGTGTCGATTATGCAGGTCCTGTTTTTCTTCGAAATAACAAAAAGGCATGGATCAGTTTATTTACATGCGCCGTGTATCGGGCCGTTCATTTTGAGTTAGCGTCGGGACTTTCTACTGAGGCATTTATCGAAACTTTACGTCGTTTCATAGCCAGACGAGGGCGTCCGCGAATCATTTATAGTGGATAACGGTACGAATTTTGTAGGCACTAATAAAGCGTTACGAGATTTAGATTGGAACAAAATAGTTAAGTTTAGCTCGGCACAAAGAATAGAGTGGATCTTTAATCCACCTTCCGCTCCCTGGTGGGGAGGGTGGTGGGAAAGGTTGGTAGGAATTTTAAAATCATGTTTACGAAAGGTTTTGGGAAAAGCGTGTCTATCGTACAAAAGTATGGTGACAGTGCTATGCGATGTGGAGGCAATCATAAATGATAGACCTTTAACATATGTATCAGAAAATCCTGACGATTTAAAACCCTTAACACCTTCTATGTTTCTCCACGAAACAAAAGAGATAGGCGTACCGGATTGCGGTATGCTTTATACAGAAAAACTTAATAAACAATTTAAACATAGGCAACATATTTGCAATGATTTACGAGCGCGTTTTCGGTCAGAATATATAGGCAAATTGACTATTAGAAATCAAAAACAAAAGGTCTGTGATTTGAAAGTTGGAGATCTTGTAATGATCGACGACAAAATGAAAAAACGTTTGGAGTGGCCGCTTGCGCGCATATTGAGTGCAATCCCGGGACGTGATGGGATTAATCGTGTTTTCATTTTAAAAACAAAAAAATGGGATAGTAAAGAGACCAATCCAAAAATTATATTCACTAGAAATATCAAAATCAACTTTTGATAAAGTAATAGCTGATTCTGTAAGTCAGGGTGGTAAGCCTAGTAGTTAAGATGTAGATAATTAGTAGTTTAGTTAAAGTATTCAATGGTTAAAGCGAAGAAATAATTTTAAGATTTTGTATTTTCTATTCTTCTTGTATTGTTTCCGAAAATTTGTAATTTCCGTAAACGGGGGGGAGTATGTTAGAGATGGCTTGGTAAGAAAAATAATATAGTTCGTGTTGGTATGGTTACATAATAATAACAAGATTGTAAAATAAAAATACAAGTTGCGTTTTGATTTCTTGTTGAAGAAACTACGTATATCAGCGTGTAGGTACACCAAATTAGCGGCCCCGTTCCTCAGAGTGATAGTTTTTTAACAACATAAGATTGACTGTTATTTAAAATGATACATGATAAAATGTTGGTATAAATACTAAAACGGCGTTCCATATTTTAAGGATGGGTAAAATGACCTGAATGATCCGAACCAAAGAATTTGGAGGTTACTGATAATCTGGAAAATCCGAGGAAGCTGAAGAATTGGACGAATTCATCAAACTGGAAGGTGTTGGAGTATACGAAAATCCAGGAAAACTAGAGGAAACATACGCGCTCTGAAAAATCTGGCGGATTTAATAAAATGCGAGAATCTGTACAAGGCAAACAATCAGACTGGAGGAGATCTGAAAAGAACGAAAGAATCCGAAGGATGGAAAGAGATCCAAAATATTCGTAGAGCCATAAGGAGCCACAAAATAAGTTTCGTTTTCGTCTTTTCCTGTTACATATTTTTTTGGCATATTTACGTGTAAAACCTTTTCATCCCTTCATCTTGTACTCTTCTACTGGTGGTATGCCATGGTTAACCATAACATTCGATCACAAGTTGGATTTGGCCTTGTACTTGCTTCAAAGGTTTCCACTGGTAATTCTCATTACGACGGTAAGACCCGGAGGTACTGTATATGTAATTAAGCGCAACTTGCGTTAATTATTGCACATTACGTGACAATCACAAGTGAAAAGTAGTTTTGAGAAGTGAAGTATAAAATCCCAACCGGTCAGCGTAAGGATCATTCGCTTCATACAATGTCTTTCAAGGTAAGTCATGAACATCGTTGCGCTGGTCCCCTAACTGTCTCTCCTTTGCATAGGTTGTGGTACTTTGCGCCGTGGTCGCCATCGCCAACGCCGGTTACCTGGAACCCGCCCTCAGGTACGCAGCTCCAGCGCCGATCGCGTACAGAAGCTACGTCTCGCCGGCCGTTACAAAAACCGACTTCATCCCAGGATCGTACTCGTCCTCCTACAGGAGCGACGTCATTACGCCACGCGTCCAGTACACCGAAACTCCCGGGTACAGTTACTCGGTACCACAACCACCGGCCATCGGTTACGCTCCGACGCTGACCAGGGTTGCCCATTTTGAACCGGTCGCGCCGATTGTAAGGGCACATCCCGCACCAATTGCTCAAGTGGGCTACGCGCATGGAGCCGCTCCATTGGCATTTGCAGGGCATGATTTGAAATACGCCAGGGCTGCTTCGGTTTGGGGTTAGGCGGGTATTTGACTATTATTATTATTAATACAGTTGATATTTCAACAAATACAAATTATAACAGATCTCTCATTATTACTCTCTCATCCCCTTGTATTTTGATACAGTATATTGACGTAGAACCCTTTAAAGAGCACACATACAGTGCAATGAAGATTATAAGACTCATATCCTGTTATGGTTCTCCTCCTAATATATATGCATTATGGTCTCCTGGTATCGAGTATTTAATCTACTAATTATGATGTTCTCCTTATAGGAAAGAATTTAGTACAGACACTAGTATAATCTCTAAATCTTGTACCCAAAAAAGAAGTTATAGCCTTTTCATGTTCTCCTGGTAGAAAATACCGACAAGATATTTTTTCTTCTTACACATTGCAATCAAAGATAGTTCTTCGCTAATGCCCGTGTTGTATAGATTTAGGGGGGTCTGTCAAGAAAAAAAACCCTTTGCGCCACTCTTAAGCTGACACCTATTTTCGATTATATTTTCCTAATACTTATGACGGACAATGGAAGAGAACTGAATGTGTAGGTTGTGAAAGCGCCTTTCTAGCAGACGTTCAACAGGTATGGGACAGGAGAAAAAGAAAAGAAAACGCTTGGTGTAAGATTCTTCATATTATTTGGTTGCTTGGTATTCTTTGGTTCCTACGAATATTTTAGATCCCTTTTTATCCCTCAGTAGAAGACACAAAGTAGATCTTCTCCTCCTTCAAACTATGTTCATCACCACCTCCTTTAACGCTTTCTTTCCGAATTTTTCTCGCATGCGCTTCTTACCTTTTATGTCCTTTGGCATTTTCTACCTTTCGAACTAGTTCGTTAATCTCTTTTTATGTCGTGCTGGTATGAATTTTTCACATTTATTTGGAACTTTTCCTCCTTCTTCGGCCCTTTGACATTCACATCGCCCTTTCATCGTCATTCATTTCGTACACTCTTTGTGCGATTTCCTTACACCTCTCCCGCACCATCTTCAGAATTTCTCTTTGCACCCTACCATTGCGCTTATTTATACACCATCCGCCTGCTTAACACTTTGTTACCCCACGCCTGTTTCTTCCACTTTACTCATTTCTTCTTTACATCTTTCTTATAGTAACCGCAAAGACAGTTTTCTAACGCATTCTCCATGTATTAGGAACAGGAAACACCTCCCTGCAGACTATGCTCTTCTGGCACAAAGGTTTAAACCAAGACAACGTGTTGGAGAATTTCTCTTGCGATCTTCATCGATTACGTTTTCCTGGCAAGTAGAGGAGTTCGTTTTTTGGCAGATTATCCGTGTATGAGTAACAAAAACACTTCCTCGTAAATTGCATTCTCTCAATACCGAAGATGTAAGAGTTTAAATACACATTCAGTGTTGCCACGCTTAATATGACAATCATCTAAAAGGACAACCTCATCTATTATGCTCTCCTGGTAGCTTCAGAAAATTGACAACAGATTATTCGTGTGTTGTGTTGCATTCTCGCAATACATAGATCGTAAGGTATTTAAAAAACTTCTTTTCGGCATAGAAAAGGATTTCCCTATTGATTATATTCTCCTGGTAACAATTATCAGTGTATTAGGAACAGTGTTGAAAAACCTCTCTTCAGCATAGGAAAGAGCATCCTCGTCGATTATGTTCTCCTGGTAGTTAGAGAAAATGCGCAAGAACTTGAGAGAGAATCTAGTAGCACCTCTTCGTTAATTGCATTCCTTCAATACCGAAGATGTAAAAGTTTAAACACACATACAGTGTTGCCAAGCTTAATGTACCGATCATCTAAAAGGACACCCTCATCTATTATGCTCTCCTGGTAGCTTCAGAAAATTTATGACAGATTATTCGTGTGTTGTGTTGCATTCTCGCAAAACAGACGTCGTAGTGTATTAGAAGAAAACTTCTTTTCGGCATAGAAAAGGATTTCCTCATTGATTATATTCTCCTGGTAACAATTATCAGGATATTGGGAACAGGGACAGATTCTCTTGCAGCATACTCCTACAAATTATAAGGATCAACGAAAATAAGCTGCTGAAAAACCTTTTTCCAGCATAGGAAAAAGTATCCTCGTCAATTATGTTCTCCTGGTAGAACTTTTTGAGAGAGAAACTGAAACACTTCGTCGTGTATCCGATTTTGGCAATATCTAAATGTTTGCACAATAATGAAGGGCTTGAACATTCCTTTTCAGTATAGAAAAGAACCTCCTCATATTGATTATGCCCTCCTGGTAGCTAACTTCTCCTAAGGAACATCCTCGTCGGTTACGTTCTTCTGGTAGCTAGGAAATATTTTTAACAATTGTAAAGAAAGTGTTGTAAACCTGCCCTTCGTAATTGATGTGCTTATCGATCATGTTCTCCTGCTAGCTACTTAAAGCCATTTTCTATGATTATCTCTTTATTACGAGCAGAAACTATGCGTGCATTCCATCTTCATAATACATAATTTTTGAAAATGGAAACGAAAGTGTTGGAGAACACTGCTAGGACAAAAAATCCCTCTCATTGTTTTTCAGTAAAATTATATTCTCCTGATACAAAAGTTAGAAAGCTGTACAGGGTGTCCCATTTTCGATGCTTTTATACGGTATTTTCGTAATTGTTAGTGCTATTAAAAAAAGAATATAGGGGTCATGGGCTCATGTTGGGTTTAAAGTGGTAAATTAAAAACTTTAACAGATTCTATCGCTTAAGGCATATTGGGGACAGTAAACAAAATTGCCATTTTCAGAATGGCCCTATATTTTCTTAGTCAAACGAAATACAGAAGAAATTCTTTTAAATGATTGTTGCTTAATCTGCCGGTTTAAAATAAGTATGCAGGGTTTATCGGACGTAATCTAATTTTTTTCTGTGTATTTTAATTTAAAATGAGATCATTTTGAATTCCCTTTTCGAAAATATAACATAACAAGTTAAAAAGTAATCGTAAACGATTTACATAAAGCGCATATCCACTTGCATTCATTTCCCATTTGTAAGATGCAACTTCTGTTAAAATCGTAAAAATCCGGCCACAAATATGAAAGATAGCGTTGCACATGGGCAATCCATTGTTGACGTGCTACTTCAATTTCAGTTTATAGAAGAATTTCATTTCAATGCTTTTCTAAATAAGAAAGTTGGAACTGCGCATGCGCAAACCTAAATTTTAAAACTAATTTACTATAACTAACTAATAAACTAAGATTTTCCTTTATTCCAAGTGCCTATGTATCAAATTTCATTCAAATACTTTTATAAGTAAAAAAGTTTGCAATTCGGTTTATAAATGGTCGAGATGCGAAAAGGGCAATGTGAATTTTGAATCGATTCGATTCAACTTTTGGCATTGCGTATTATATGGCTAAATCTATGCCCATATTGAATTTCATGCAATTCAGTTCATAACTCACGAAGATGTAAAAGCGATCGAACATTTCTAAACAAAGTTATCGTTCACAGGGACAGATAGACGGACAGACAGACAAAGGAACAGACGGAGAGACCAACCGGCAGGCGACAAATAGCAATGCAAAATTATAAACGATCTCTAGGATCGTTAATAAACGGCAAAAGTGTAAAATTATGGAACATGTAAAAAACGGTTTTTTGTTTTTTTTACAATAAATTTTTTTTGTAAGCGGTACAGAAAAAATTCCTTCCTTGGTGCAAGACTCGACACCATAACGAACCAAATAGCGAAAAAAGTAGAACAATAGCTCTTAAGATAAAAAACTAGTAGCGTCGCAAAGTTAGCGGACGGACGGACGGACGGACGGACGGACGGACGGACGGGCGGACGGACGGACGGACGGACGGACGGACGGACAAAGTGGCCACAATAGCGCATTTTTTTTTTATTTTTGTGGAAATGCGCTAAAAAAACACAAAGATTTAAAAGGGATTTAAACATTGAAAAATATTTTTTTGACTGTGTATCAGTTAAACCTTTTTTAATGTTAATTAGCATAAAGAAAACCTTCTCATTGACTATGTTCTCCTGGTAGACGGATGTACAGTACTTTTCTACAAGAACCTCCACGAATTAGGTGCAAAATTCTAGTCCCCTGATATTATAATAGTCAATGTTTAAATAAAAATAACATGTTGCAACACTTCTCCTGAACATTGCGACGGGTATCCTCATTGCCTATGTTCTCCTGGCAGCCTTCATTTTTCACTTCATTTGCTCGGGATCGTTTAGCATCTTTTGGTACTACGTACCTTTTCTACCATTCGGTTTCCTCGACTGCATATATGCATATTATTCCAATAAATTTTCGCATATTAGCTTCTGGAGCTCCTGAGATTTCCTCGTTTTACCTGATAACTTAATATGGCTGCAGCTACTGTGTTTCATCGTCCTCGCTTGTTTGAGTGGTTCGGCTTCGACTGTCCCCTTTTCTTAGACTTCTTCAGTTTCTTCCCGAATTTTTTGGTTTGTGGGGCTTTTTCAACATCCATCACCTCCAGCTGGTTCCACTTTTTTGTTTTTTTTTCGGATCCCTTCATATCTCTGATTCCCTTGGTTTTCTCGCATTCATACGCTCGGATCACCACCAAAGCGAACTAAGTGGAACTAATAAGACTATGGCGACTAAGGAAAGTAACTTAATGGGCCAAAGAGATGCTTGTTCCTAGTGTCAACGCAGTGGATTTCTTCAAAATTAATTCATTTGCAATTCCATGGAGATTTATTGGAGAGGATGGATAGGCTTCCAATTAAGAAGCACTTTGGTGATGTGGATGGAGTAAAATTGAATTAAGGATGCTCTTTAATTGATGCTTAATTAATTGGATTTGCTATCTAGAGATTCACAGTCTCTTTTAGAAACACGGAAAGTAATTACCTCGTCGTTGTTATTACTTTAACACGGACGACAAGGAACTAAAAAATCAATTAGGAAAAATTCTGAAGCAATTACTAATCCTGCACGAGCATTGAGAAAAGTTGTTTCTTTTGCGTAACATTTTGGTATAAAATGAGTGCGCCGTCTACATACTGCATCAGTAGCACTGCTAGCCGGTCCAACAATGTCTCTTAAGGTAAATTTCCAAAAGGCATGGCCCTTTAGGCGCAATTATCTTATTTTAGGTTATATTCTTCGCCGCCTTCGTTTCAATTGCAAGCGCCTGGAACGTGGAGTCCATCCCATCGGCTTTAAGGCTCTCAGTCTCCCAGCCAGCTCCAGCTGTCAGCTTAGTCTCACCAGCCGTCACCAAAACCGAGTACACGCCAGGATCGTACTCGTCCTCTTACAGAAGCGATATCATCACTCCGCGTTTGAAGTACACCGAAACCCCAGGCGTCCGTATCACGGTACCGCAGCCAAGCATCGCCATCGCACCGGCCGTAACCCGCCTCGAGCACGTCCTCCCTGCAGTGGAAAGGATCGAAAAGATTGTACCGGTCGCACGAGTCGAACCGCTGATCGCAGCCCGCTTCGAGCACCTCGCTCCCACGTTGGAGAGAGTCGAAAAGATCGCTCTCCCCGCTCCTCTCTTCACCGAGAAGATCGCAAGAGTTGAGCATCTCGCCCCGCTCACGAGAATCGAGCACCTCTCTACGCCGGTCATTGCGAAGACCTTCGCCGGTCCACTTCTGCGTTCCGATCTTGGATTAGTCGCACCATCCGCTTTCACCTACGGTGTTGGTAGATTGGATTTGGGCCAAAAGATTCACTTCTGAAGATAATGGACCTGTGTAGTACTACTTCATGTTGAAATATAATTTTGCATTATCACAATACAATTTGTTTCACTTAGTCCCCATGGATTATATTCTCCTAGAAGCCAGTAACAGTTTACAAAGCTTCCATAAGGGATCCTCCAGGAATTCTCCTAATACCACATATTAATCGAAAATCAGGTGATGGAACGTTTCGGTTTTGCTTAGAAAAGTTCTTCTTCGTGGATTACGTTTTCCTAGTGTCCATAAAAATAGTGAATTAAGAGTAGAAACTCTTCGCACAACTTATTTTCTTGATGCAAAGGTTTATACCAAAATTAGGTACTGGAAAAGGATTTGATCGTGGATTACGTTCTCCTGGTAACCCGAGCAAATACATTTTTCTAACGAAGACCCAGCCAATTAAAAGTGGAAGCGCCTCATCGCACAACATGTTCCCCTGATACACCACTTGAAGCAAAAATAAGCTGTTGGAACATTTCTTGCGACGTTCAAAAAATTCTAAACAGATACTCGTGTTTAGTTGCAAACTTCCCCTCGCACAAAATATTCTCCTGATACAAAAGTTTAAACAAAAAATAACGTTCTAGAACACTTTAGCTTAGAAAAAGACCTCCCCATAAACTATGCTCCCCTGGTAGCTAGGGAAACATTTTCAGTAAATTAAAAGCAGAAACACGTCCTCATGCAACACATTCCCCTAATGCAATAGTTTAGACAAAAATAAGCTGATGAAATATTGCTTTTGAGCTTGGAATGGGTATGTTTTCCTAATAACCATAACAAATTTACTAAATTTCCACCTCCACGTGCATTTTACTCTTGATACTGATATTCCTCTGTTACAAAAGTGTAAACCAAATCAAAATGATAAGACAATTATGTTGAGATTCTCCTGATACACACGTCTAAATGAAAAAAGTGCAACAACGTATATCTCTGGCTTAGAAAAAGAGCTCCTCATAGATCATGTTTTCCAGGCAGCCAGAGAAAACACGTATACACATATACTGAACAACTCCTCAAGGGTTATATTTCCTTGATAGAAATGTTTGAATGAGAGTAATGTGCTGAATCATTTCTCTTGTTTATAGAACAGGACTACTGGAATACGTTCTCCTGGTAGCTAGAGAAAATTTACATTTGCCCGACAGGCACTAAAAACATCTTCGCATATTATATTCTCATGATATGGAAGTTTTGAGTGACACCAAAATATTGTTGTTGAACTTGCTCACAGGTTGTGTTCCCTTTGTAGACAAAAAGGCAAATAACGAGCCTAAACTCCTCCTCGCGTAACATATTCTCCTGATGCAGAAGTCTAAATGAAAAGGTAGTTCTAGAACAATTCTCTTTCGCTTTGAAAAGAACTCAGCCTATGTTTTCCTGGTAGCAAAAGACGATTTACATTATATTCCTAAAATACACACAGTGGTATTAGGAACAGATACACTTCTCTAACAGATACTCATTAAGCACCTCCTCTCAAAACATATTCTCCTGATACTAAAAGTTTTAAGTGAAAATATGGCGAGGGAACCTTTTTTTTAAGAAGACCTGTTTACAGATTATGTTCTCCTAGTAGACAGATACAATTTTTAACATTTTACTAACATATATTCAGTAAATTAGGAGCAGATACAGCTTATTATGGATTAAACTCTGTTTATACAAACGTTTAAACGAAAAGGATATACCGAATCAGTCTTTTTGTTCATAGAAAATGGTCTCATCATGGATTATGTTCTCCTAGTAACTAGAAAAAAATGTACTACATTATTTACTCGGAGTAGGAATACCTTTTAGATCTACCTATTCGCCTGGTATAACAAAAATAGATATTTTCTTGGGCATAGAAATTTACCTCCTCATCGATTACGTTTTTCTGATAGTCAATAAAATTATAAAAAGTTCTTTCTACAGATCACTCGGTGGATTAGAAGCAGAAACATCTCCTGCGCAACATACTCCCCTGATACAAATGTTGCAACACTACTCGGTAGCAGGTACTTGGGGAATTAGGGACAGAAACATATTGTAGAGCATTATATGTTCCTTTAAAAAAAATTGTTCTCCGGAAGATTTACAACACTTTTGTAACAGATACCTTTCAAATTAGAGGCATTAACGCCTTCTCACACATATTCTCCTGACATGAAAGGTAGTGTGTTTTTCGCGATGGTAAAAAGAGACGTCCTCAAACATTATGTTCTCCTGGTATAAGTATAAGATTTGCAATATTTTTGTAACAGATACCTCTAGAATTAGGGACAGAAGCACCTTCTCGCACATTACATTCTCCTGGGACGAAAGGTAGTGGGTTGAAACACGTGACGTGCGCGTAGAAAGAGACGCCCTCAAGGAATATGTTCTCCTGGTAGAAGTATAAGATTCGCAATATTTTTGTAACAGATACCTCTAGAATTGGGGACAGATACACCTCCTCCCACATTATATTCTCCTGGAACAGAAGGTAGTGTGGTCGAACATTTTCCGTGAGCGTAGGAAGAGACATCCTCATGGATTATGCTCTCCTGGTACCTAGAAGAGATGTACAACATTCCTCGGACTATTCAAATTCCTTAGTTTCATATTCTTCGATTTCCTGGGGTCTGCCCGGATATTGAGTTCACATCGAACCCTTCATAAGATGTACCATACGATTGGCATTTTGGCGCATTTTTTAAGAATTAAAAAAATGTGCTATTGTTTGCGTGGTGTCCGTCCGTCCGTCCGTTCGGACCGTTTCGAACTACTTCTAGGGGAATGGTCCTAGAGTCCTTGAATTTTTTGCAGTAGGTAGCCTATACCTTGAAGGTGTGCCAGCCGGCCATCAAATTTCGCTGTCTAAAAGGCCCCCCCCCCCCTACGAATTATTTCCTGAGATGCTGTTTTCGAAAGTAACACGTGCATAACTTTTACATACGATAACCAATTGGTCTCAGATTTTGCATACGCATGCCTGTAGTGGTGCCAAGCTAAACTTTAGAAAATGGGAAGGGGGGGGAGTAAATACATGTTCTACCCTTCATGGTATTCTAATGAAATGTCTCATCGAAAGAAATTGGTTTGTACAAACTATAACTTTCTCGTGCGACTCTCTTTCGCGATCAGTGAGCGACAGGGACAGAGGGGGGGGGGGGGGGTTAAAAATTAGTTTTATCTCTCATTGTATTCTAATTAATTAAAGGTTTCAGCAAAAGGAACCGTTTTCTACCAACTACTGCCCTTCTTTCTGTCATCTTATCAAAGTACGGGGTTTAGGGGGGGGGGGAGTGGAACTACCTTTATCCTTCACGGTACTCTAATGAAAGGTCTCAACTAAAGGAATTAATTTTTACCAACCATAGCCCTCCTCCTCGACCTCTTATTGTGATCGGGTATATTCCCTTATACCTCAAGAACGGATTGTCGGAAGAGGGTACTCATAAAGGGCGATTGAGACGTCTGCAATAAATATATCCATTGGTGTTGTCAAAACAACAGCTATTTCGTTAAAAAAATGAGTTGTGCACAATTTATACTTGTTTTTAGATAAATTGGATTCATTAGAAGTTTGATACACTTTCAAATCTCTTCCCATTTTTAGGATTGCTCAGATATTCAATTTTTATAAGATTCTTGAAATTATTACATAAGATTCTTCATATTATTTTGAAGATTCCTCGGGATTCTTCCAATATATCCTGCTGTTTTTACATCTTAAGATCGATTTGGTATTTTATATTCTTCACTTCTACAAATTCATCTGATTTTTGAGGTTCTGTGGCCCTGGGGGAACTAGAGTAAACGGGGTATCCCCCAATCTGGCCAAAACTATCTTCAAAATAGAATAGCAACCAATCCAGAGGGCAAAGAGCACAAGTTTATTTCAATCTATGGGGTTCCACAGGGCTCCGTTCTTGGTCCCGTGTTATGGAACTTCGCATACGACGGCGGTCTCAGGGTCATGGTGTCGGAAGGTCCAATTTTCTGATGACCTAACTAAATTGGAAGAACACAGCTGCCAGCCTCTTAGAAAAGGGGGTTAGTGGGTGCAAGTTCCACAATACCCGCACAGTAGACCCATGTGGGGGTGTGCCCAGGCATTCGCAGTTCTTTCATTAATGAAAAAGAGACTATTTCGAATCACGGTTTGCTTCCGTTTCTTCGGATTCTTCTGACTGGCCCAATTGCCCTTCTTGGAGTGGTATAAGGCGAACTTAGGTACTAGCTCTCTCGCCTAACCTCCCGTTTAAACCACTTGTGTTTTTATTTGCTCCCGTTTCAGCGTTCTTTCATAGAACGTTTGACAAGCAACTTGTGAACAAAACGCTGCATATGGAACAAGGTACGTCCAGACATCGAGAACACGGGGCGTTATTTAAAGAGCATTTATTAACAAATGCATTAAGTTATAACATGCAGTTGTCTACCAGCCGGCACGATATGCCCCCGCGTATCCCAATGGGAGCGCTCGGGCGTATCCGAAGTGGGATCCGTACCCAAACCCGTGTCCGAAGTAGTTAGAGCGAACGACAGGTGCGGCGACCACGGAGTGTACAGCGGGAGCGACCAGGGAGGTTCTTGCGATTGGGGCCGTATACAACTCGGTCCTGTGGACCGAAGCAACTGCGGGCGCCAAATGGTCCACTCGAGCAATTGCCGGCGCTGCGAATCCGTATGCTACTGGTGCTGCGTACCGAAGTCCACCTCCCAGATATCCAGCGTGGACAGTGGCAATTGCGCAAACGAAGAAAACCTACAAGCACCCTACAGTGGTTGTTGCAAGATAAAAATGGCTTACCTTGAAGAACATTTCTGTTGCTTTTCGGAAGATGACTGATACCCAATTGGAATCTGTCTTGGTTTATATACTCAAGAGACTCCCGAAACATGAATTGATTTTCCTGTTTTATCCAATTAACTTGATTGATCGAACTTAAACAGTTAGAAGTTAATGACACTTGGAAGGTCAATGGAAGAATGTCAATCATATCCTCATTAAAAGTAGACGGCGATTGCCATCTACTAAATTGGTTTTTAAAATCACTAA